TGTAAAAGACTTCTATTTATAGGATACATACTCATAACTGAATGTATATACTTGGAAACAATGCATAATGAAACTTGAGCTATATGTAGCCATGCTTACAAATACTTGTATAAATCTCATTTTACTGTGTATCGATGTTTAATCACGGCCTTTACTTAACGAAAAGTAAGAAAGATAATTTTGGCATCGTGATTCATAAACGGAAGGAAACGATTAGTTCACATTTAGTAGTGCGTAAGATAATACCTTTAATCGAGAATAGAGTTATGCATGTTAATCAATTCCAATTCAGCTGACATTTTTTTGCTATAAATTATATTCATCAATCCATATTAGATATGACTTAAAACTTAATGTTTGCACTGTAGTTCTTCTTATACTTTTCACACTTTCAATCGCATTGAAGTTTGAGAACGTTTTTTTTCTTGACTTTTACGATCGAACACTATGAGACACAATTTAAAATAAGGGATCCAAAAAAGCCGCATTTCAATTCAAGGTATAGTAAAGAACTCGGTGAGAGTGGGATATGACAGCAATATCAAATAAAACAAAATATTTCTCGATAGAGTGTAAAATGTTAAGAAGTTAAATTCAATTTTAAGTGACTAATTTCTAGGCCGCAACGCTGTGCTTAGAATAAAACTATGGATTCCCTTGCAAACTTTTTAATGACAAAAGTATATTTCTTCACTCATGAATTAGTAATTTAATACTATACGACCATAGTACACTTATTTTCTCTTTTTCAAACTCGAGCATTTTTATCCTTGCACGGTCTGCGAGTTTCTATTAAAAATTCTGATATCTGTTTTTAATTACACTATCGAGCTTACATACGCACTGGTACTTTACTCTAAAAATTTCATTGTATTTCGTCGAGTCGCGAGAAAAACTGATAGTTTCGTAGCAGTTACACATCCGAAACGTCCTGTTATAGAATATCTTTGATAATACAAGAATTCTTATAATCAGTATAGAGTATGGCAATGTACGCGGATAAAAGGATTCAGTACTTTTATAATCACGGAAAGAGTCATTAGAAGATAAAGAACAGATGTACAATCATACCATATAAAAAGGAAATAACTGTTTATACTCAAAAGTCGTTCTTATCTGAGTTCATTTCTAGCGTTCACTGTTATGCTACTAATATGACTTTATCGTTGTGACGTAGAATTTCCAAAAAATCTTTGTTTCTAATTATTCCCTCCTTCCTCGACTGCAGATCCTGTGAGTTTTATTGATGAATGATTTTGTTTCTCATCATATACATGTTTCAAAAGTCAAACACAAGTATTTCCGTGGGATCTCTTTCATATTTACATTGAAGATTTCAAAATTCACTAATAAATATGACAATACCAAGCACAATTTTGTCATAAATTATGTTACACAAAATTATATACATTACACTTATTCTGAAAACTTCGGATGTAGATCAGATTTTGGCTATAATATATTTTGATTTTATCAACAACTTCATGATGTTGTTTTCAGATATACGTCAATACACCGCTGTGCATTTTGTATTAAAAAAAAAGTTCGTAAAAATAGGATTCACGATGATAGCTATATATAGGATTTTGTAGAAAATCCATTACTCTACAATATGTACTAGATGTGTGAGGTCGCACATTTTCAAAGTTACAAAATGTGTAAAAAAGAAAGGTGAAAATCTCTTTCTTTTGTAAAAATTCAAAAGAAAAGAGTTGCTGAAGGTCCTATTATATTCTGAAAAAGCATTTACTGATTTTGATAAAAAACAATTTGTGAAATGTATTTATTCTTACAAGGATACATTTAAAAAACGTATAATTTTTATAAAACATCTGGTAAATTTATCAAAAGTTTTTATTCAGAAGTCGATATTTTTCCAGACTAAGACAGTATGATAGATCATACAATAAAAAATAAATTACTGTTGAATCACTGTCAGACGATGCCACAGACTTTTCAAAAAAACATTTTACTTACTCACAGATGCAAGGTAAATTCTTTCTTCTTTTTTTGGACTAATAATACTAAATAGAACGTCAGGTTGTTGAATAAAACTATTCCAAACACCTGATATCTATCTTCGGTACACCATGACATTATAAACAGAATGTCCCTTGCAAGGAACATTCGATCGTAACGGCATGAAATATCTTATCGTTCTATAAAACGACCGAAACCGTTAGAGAAAAATATAATGCGCATAAGTGTGTTATCCCTAGTTGCGATGACATATTCGCCCCATCCACACCCTTTCTATTGTAAAAAATTACTAAGAACAGTTATTCAATTAATATATTATATATTAAGGTCGAATATCCCTTCGAAGGGACATTCTGTATTTCCATAAGAAGAAAGACGTATTTTTTGAAACTATTCTCTAATCATACTAAACGTCCAAAAGCTCTATTCTAATAGTCTGTTTCTTCTCAATGTCAAGAAAACTCCTTTCGGCTTTTAAAGGTTACGTTTGATGTGAGTAGATGCAACAGATTATGAAGAATCTAAATATACTTATGAACTGCAATTATAAATTTGTGCCCGTAAGTAAAACTACTAAAAAAATTCTCTACCATATGGCAAGATAAAACACATTATAACAATCATGCGGTTTTTAATGCTTCAAGTATTCTAAGAAATATATTTCCGAAATTATTTTTTAACGAAATATTTGAAATTAAAAATTCTACAAACTCTAAAATTTGCACCAAAATCAGTAAATGCTTTTTCAGAGTATGATAAGACCTCCAGAAGTACTTTTTTTTTGAATTTTAAAAAAATCTAGTAGAGTAATTGATTCTATTTTTCTAGCACAAGAATATGTACTAAAAGATATATTCCTATTTATCAACGAATGAAAAAAACTTACAAAAAGTTTTAAGTGATTTGAAAATACTTGTAGATTTTATAAGAACATACATGCACATATGAATGAAAAAATGTTGCCATTTGAAATGGTAAACAGAAGAAAAATATTGTTAACACGTTTTACGAAATACATCAACAAACAGGTGAAACAGAAAACATCTAAAACTCGAAAAAAAAGCAAAGATTTGAGAAAAATCCATCAACTCTAATAACGATAAAACTGTTATTATAGACCTCGGTAGATATTTATATACGATACAATGTCCTGGAATGTAATCTTATGTATATATACTTTATTCGAACGGAGAGAATACACGTGTAATTTTATAGAGCAGTTAAATATTCGTAACTAAATAAATAGGAAAAAGAAGTTCGAGAATATAGAACAAAAAAAAAGCGTTTATTAATGGAGAACAAAAAAAAGAAGCGTTTATTAATGGAGAAAAAAATAAGCGGTAAAAAAGCCATAAAGCTAAATAGAATTTAATCTTATCGGATCTTTTAGTAATGTAAAAAAATTCTCAACTTATTGTATTATGTCAATTATATTAACAAATAGGGATTTGCAAGGATAGAACTTATGAACTAATATACGTTGATGTAAAACACATGAGAAAATAAATTAGCATAGTTTTCTGTGTAGAAAGTAAAAGAAAAAAGAAATTGCAACTTTTTTCGGATATTATTTATTTATTTATTTTTCAAGGTGGTTTTAACATAAAATGTAGTTTATTTCATGGTTTTTCTCTTTATATAAAATATTTAAAAACAAACAGACGTTAAGAAAAGATCTCAATTGTTCTTTACTAACACTTAAAAAAAACTAGCATGCATATCATTAGTAATAATTATATAAAGTGGTAATTTTAGAAGCAATTTTTCTTATGATATATATTTGCAACGTCATACAGTAGTATATCACATATATCGTCAAATTTTCTGTCTATTTACTGATACTTAAGAATCTTATTTTATCTAGGTCAGCTTAGATAAATAACTTCGTATAAAAAAAAGCTTACATACTATATATTCATAGTTATTTAATGTCATGAATAGATGGAAATTTCGTTCATTTTGATACTAAAAAATCAAAATAAATAATAATTAACTTAAACTTAGAAAATTCAGACAGATGATTTTTACTTGAATATTGACTAAATATTAGGTTATTAAGTAAACGCTTGCAATAAACCTTTTTGTTTTGTATAAAATTTTTTATCATTACAGCGACTATTCTACCTTAAAAACTATACTCTCTATATAAGCATGCGTACGTACGTATTTAGAACAGAAAGAGTTGGATACGCTTGAATAAACTGAATGCATTGGTTTTTGTTCCTTGATATTCGAATACACTTACTAATAATTGTGTAAAAAGAAAAAAAATGAATATAACTTTAACATCTGTTTCTCATCACTATTAGAATTTTTTTTTGTTAGATAGAAATTTTACATGAAAAAAAACATTTTTTCTGTTTTTTTTTCTTTCTATTCTCCTTCTGTTTTGTTTATCTTCTATGAATTTGATTATTCAACAATCTATTTAAAGAACCTTTTTTAACAAAAAAAGAAAAAACTGTTCGCATCAAAAAAAAAAAGAAAGAGAACGAGAGAGAAAAAAAATATACGCTTGATACATTAATAGATATTAAGTTTTAGTTCTACTTTTACTTTTCAAACGTCTAACACACACAGTTATTCTTTTACATCATCATTTTTACTTAGTTTTATTGACAAAGAAATTAAAAGAAAAGAATAGAAGAAAAAAAGGAAAAAGGAAATACATACTTAGATAGTTACTAATTAAAACAGATTTTAAACGGGAAAAAATATTAAAAGCGAATAATCCTTATACATAAACTATTTTATGT